GGCGGGGGCGGGCGCTTCCTGGCGTACAACTCGACCGGCTGCGTCATCAGCCGGAAGGTTGACGGCCACAGGACGTGCGAGGTGCGCGGCGGCGGCGAGAGCGGGGCGGCCATGGCCCGGTCACCGACGGAGAGGGCCCCCCCGCAGCGCAGTGCGGCCGCATCGCCGCCCATGCTTGTGCAGTGCGTCAAGCCCGCTGTCCTGACACGCTAGCCGCCGCCGCCAACCGCGCACCCCACACACACCGACAAACAAACCCAAGGTGCTCTTCCATGACGCGTCCCGCGGCCGTGCGAAGCTGCCGCTGCTGACGGATTACTACGGCTTCACGATGGCTTCCCTGGGGGAGGCCGGCGTCGCGTACGGCAGCCCCGCGAGTGGGTGACTCAAGGGGGGGGGGAGGGTGCGCTCCACCCCCGCAAACATTGTTAACGAGGGCAGCGGGATATGAGCCACAAAGTGTGGCGGGATCGCAGTTGCCGCAAGGCTGCCCTGCCGCGGCTTCATGCGTGGCAGCCGCTCTCCAGCCATCGCCCCTCACGAGGTGACGTCATTGCGCTCATGTGCAGCTGTCTGGGTGGCTGCTGCGGACTTGCGGCCGCTCACCCGACACCCCCCTTGCCCCCGCCACCCGCGCCTGCGCCCCCCTCCCACCACATACACCCCCAAACACACACACGCACACAGGCGCGGATGCTCCCCCCATGGTGGTGTACCGCCCCTTTGACTGCTGGGCCGCCAACAGCGACTGGTCGGTGCAGCTGCCGCGCGACGAGGCGCCCACCTGCATCGCGGCCGGTGGGTGGGGTGGGGCCCCTTCTTCTCGCGCCCTGTCCTCGCGCCTTTCGTGGGGGCGCTTCCCGGCCTGCCTCCCTGCTGCCTGCTTGCTGCGTGCGGGCCCTGCACTCTTCTTTTGCAGCCTGCAGCCCCGCCTGGAATGCCTCTGTGTCTGGCGTGCTTCGTGCGACCCCCTCCATCCCGACCATGCCCATGCCCCGTCCGCCTCGCCTCCGCCCTTGCCTCCACCCCTGTCATCGTCCTCCCAGGCCGCAGCTTCGTCGCCGTCGCCACCTCCGCGCAGCTGCTGCGCATCTACTCCCCCTCCGGCCGCCAGCTCGCCGCGCTTTCCCTGCCCGGCCCCGCCGTCGCGCTGGCCGCGGCGGGGCACGCGCTGCTGGCCGCCCACCAAGCGGCCTCCCCCTGCTGGGAGGCGCCGGAGGCGGGGTCGCAGCGCCTGGCGTACTTGCTGCTCGATGTGGCACGGCACGCGCAGCTCGCGTCGGGCCCGCTCCCGCTCGCGCGCGGCGCGCCGCTGGCGTGGCTCGGTTTTAGCGAGGAGGGTCTGCCGGCGGCGGCGGACGGCGCGGGGGTGGTGCGGCTGCGGACGGCGGAGTGGGGGGGCGCGTGGGTGCCGGTGTTTGACGCGCGGCTGGCGCGGTCAGGTGGGCGCGCAGGGCCTGGTGGCGGGTGGGGCTGGCGCTGCCGGTTGCGGGCAGCCGCGTGTGCATTGGTGGGCGGGGAGCACGGGGCAGGGGGAGACGCCCGCGATCTGGGGACACCTGCGGATGCCAGTGGTGGGGTGGGCTCCGGTGCTGGGTGCTGGGGAGCGAGGTGTGGCCCCGCACGTCGGTGCAGGCCTCATGCTCAATAGTGGCGCACGCCGAACGCGCCCATATGAGTCCCCTGCCTGCTCTGATGTTCCTTCCCCTCCCTCTTGCAGAGGGCGGGTCCGAGGTGTTCTGGCCCGTGTCCATCAGCTGCCGCGAGCTGACCTGCGTCGTCACGTCGCAGGCGGCGCCGCACCCGCCGGTGCGCGGGCGCACCCCAAGCTGCGGCCCATCGCTGCGCAGCCGCCCCCTCAGCCGCTCGCGGTGCATCGCCAGTGCCGTGCGTTGGCCCCGGATTCGGACCGCCATGGTGCCCGCCGTCAGGCGTCGCCCTCGCATCCAATTCGTCCCCCAAATCCATCTGCCCCCGCCGCCCACAGGTGCAGCCGCGCCCGGTGCTCAGCGTGCGGCCGCTGCAGGTGCGCTGCAACGGGGCGGCCCCTCCCGGCCCGCCTCGCTGGCGCAAGCCCGGCCGCCGTGCTGCCCTAGAAACGCCCCGCGCAGGGCGGCACCCCTGCACTGCGGCCCGCCCACCCCGCTCAGTGCCCATCCCCTGAAACACCCGCCGCACGCCTTGCACACAAACACACACAAACTCACACACAGTTATACACACATATCGTCCCTCTTCCCGCCCCCCACCCTCACACACACGCACACACACACACACACACGCCCATTGCCGCGTCCCCGCAGGTCCCCCTCGCCGCCGCGGAGGGCGCCCCCTCGGACCTGGAGGACGAGGCGCTGCGCCTGGGACTCAGGGCCGCACACATCAGGGCGGCAGCTGCAGAGGCAGACGGTGCGCAAAGGGACGGGGGGCCAGGGGACGGCACCGGCCCCGGCGCAGCCGCTCCACGCCATCGATGCCGTCGACAATGATGTTTTGACTTTTCAAGTACTTTTACAGTTTATCAGCTGCAGCCGGGAATTTCGGCGGGTGCTGCCGCGGCTCCTGGTCTGTGACGGGCGCTGGCACCGCAGCACCGCTGTCGCGCGCCGCCACAAGGGCCCCGCGTCGTCTTACGGACGCGCTCCCCCACCACCCCACCTTCCCGGCCCCTGGATTTTGCCCACGCACGCCCACCCTCGCACCCACGCACCTCACCCGACCAAAATTCGCCTGCCTGCTCCCCTGCCCAACCGCGACACTGATCAAAAGTACTGATCAGCCACGCCGCCACTGTAACCCTCTCCACCCTGAACCCCACCCTGAACCCTCCTTCCCGCCCCCCAAAAGACCCCGAGGAGGCCGCGCGCTGTGCTGAGGAGCTGGAGGCTGCGCTACTGGAGGGGGACAGGGGCGCGCTGCGGCAGTTCAACGTGAGGGGGAGGGGTGGGGGGGGGGTGTATGTGTAGGGGATTGGGGGTATGAAGGTATGGAGG